TTACTTCCTACTTATTATTCCTTGTTATCATTTATTCTTATTGAACTTACTGTGTTTAGTTGTCCCCTGTTACTGACACTTTCACTAGTTATATTTTTACAATTTACTTCTTGTAAGTTTTCTATCCCCAAAGTGATACGAAGTGAGATTACTTGGATCGGTGGATATTCGATTGAGTTCCTAGAGAGTTTATGATTGACTGAACTTCAGTTGATATTGCGATAATACCATAAATGCTTGCTTACAAACGTACAAGTGATATACTACGATACAGTAGTTCATTAAGTTGATATTAATTTGCGAAGAGTAGAGGTTTGATGGTGTTGCAACGCACGCTTATGTCACTGGGAACATGATCATAGTTACTTTAATTCAAAAATATTAAATGCTTTATTCCATTTAATCAAGTTTGTAATATCTTAGTTGAATTAATATACAACTGTTCGTAATACTGATTGAAAACTAAGAAACAATAAACAATTACTTGGTTCAGTGAGAATATCATTTATGGTTGACCTCTGTGTGATGTTAAAGTGACCCTGAGAATAGTTACCTACCTAAGAGATGATTGTAAACCAGTATAAAGAATTAAGACTGAGGATCAGAATTTAGAGTTAAACGTCAGGGTTAGGAATTTTAGTTAGTTTTTTTCACCGTGAACGGACATCAGCTATAGTGTCAAAATACAATATAAATGAATGAATTTAGCGAAAAAATCCGATAGTTGCTATCTTAAATCTCATCGGTTCATCCATAAATTACAGTCTCGCCCATTATTCTATTCAGAGATTCTTCAGTAGTATGCATTACCTATCTCACGCGATATTGGAACTAGAACATTTATGTGTGGTTGTGATCAACCAATTCATAATACTTCTTGATCATCATCTATTATCATAAGCTGCTCTGTTACATTGCACTTGGTTAATATGAACGAGGTGATTTCGTAGTTGTAGGATAATTTTAAAAAGATTATTTCTATTTAAAGTAAACATTGATGATACTGTCAATAACAATAGTGTGGTTTTCCTAATCAAATAACCCAGCTTAACAGAAGAATTTTTTTCTATAACCAATGTTATGATAGAGGTCATTGTCACTGCACCATTAACCGACATTTATTAAGCAATATTCCATGTATATCTTTATTTAAAAATTAAAAGAAAATAGATCATGACCGACTCCTCTTTGAGTAACTAAACTTAGTTTAAGTGGGATATACTTGTGTTATTGAAATTTTCTGAGGTCACTACTTGTAACTACCTGATACGTATTAACTCCACTGATCACGGCATCTCATTAGAATTCCGAGAATTCCCTCACGAAGCTAGTCACTAGTGAGTACATGATGATTATCAGTATGGGGTCGTCGAGATTGTCAAGTTTTTGATTGAGATCATGAATTGACGAATGTTAGATCACCATTGAAAACCTGGAAACGAAACTGCCATCCAGTACAACCCCACACTGATTATTGACATTTATTGATGTTCTCAATCTTCTTTAAAGCTGTACACACAATAATACCTGATTGGATAATATAGTAGGTGTCCGTAAAAACTCTAGAACATAAATGAATAATTTGGAAAATCAATAAACAATATACTTTTTAACGAAAATTCCTAATCTTAAATAGGATGTACTCAACAATCTTCAGTCAATAACATCTTTATGTAAGTATAGCTTTGTTTTAGTTTACTACATTGCTTAATAGCTCAATCAAATCACAGGGTATTGCAATGCAGAATAACGAACATGATGAAGATATTGTTATATGGACAAAATCACTACATCAATCAATAAATAGTCTAAATATTCATCAATTGGAAGATATTTTGATCAAATTAAAGACAACAAAGGGATTGGAATTTACAAAAAATGTCATAAATCATTTGATTGATGGAGAAAATTCAGTTTATGTTGCTGTAGAAGCTGGATTTGATCAAGCGGTAAGAATAATCTATTAATGTATACATAAAATTAAGTGATTTATAATTCTGTTTGTTAAACTGGAAGTTAGAACTTGACAGTTTGATCGAGTACTCAACCTGTCTTAACCTAGAGCAAATTCATAGTAAGCGTAATAGTGTATGAGATCTTCAGAAGTGTTTTATTGATTGAAAATGTTTTTATTTATCTCAGATTTCTTTGGTTAAGGGTTTGTAACAGACATAACTGAACGATGCCTGAGAATTAGAAAATTTCTATTCGGATGAAGAAAAATTTCAATTCTGCTTTCAGTCTAGACGCAATTTTTAAAAAAATGGTTTAAGTAAAGAGGTCTATCTTCAATTTACTTAAGTTCTATGAAATAAATCATTTTAAATGAACATATCAACTGTTTACATTTGCAGCAAGAGGATTTATACATTTGGTCTATTGATTTAAAGGTGCCTGAATATCGAATGAATCAAAGCGGATCTTAGCTTAATCTATTTATTTTCATTGTAGTTATCATACATTATCTCCAGTATTTTAAAAACAAGCGATAATAACGGTAAAGGAGATCTGTGACGCGATTATTCAATTCGAATGCAACAATCCCCGAACTATAGAAAGCCAGGGTACACTGGCGAAATATCTCACCATAGTTTGAGGCACTTCAGCAACGTGTACAAAAATCCTATTTTATTAATAGTCATGAGCTCAATAATTACTGGCTTTGTTGGAAAAATCTTGGAAACCTCCAGTCTAATGTTGAATATTTGCCAAGGGTATGATGCAAACTATTGAGGGGTTCTAATCTAGGGCTAAGTACCTATTTATTCATGACCAGTTTTCCCTGGTTCTCTAGTTACTCTCAATCAGAACTGGAAACTATTTTAAGATACGTGCGATTCACCGAGTAATACAGGTCTTCGTATGTAGTTAATGACATATTTTCTTCCTCTTTCGACCTGATTTTGCGTTGTTTATTATTGTTTATTCATTCATCTAAGAGTTTTGTTGAATTCAGAAAGAAATATTAAAAAGGAATTTAAAATTTCTCATCTCTATTTATGGAGGTGAATAATTCTATTATGAAACACATATTAGTTTCATTCATTTGTGTGATATTCCTTGTTGTTGCAAACTTTCTAAGCACGTATCGACTGTTGTTATCATTACTAAAATGGTTGATGAATTCGCTGTCGTTTGCCTTTATTAAGGCATGATAATTCATTTTGAAAGTAGGATATTACAAACAACCAACAATTTATACTGAACGAAATAAAAAATCATCTCCTGAAAATCATGTATCTTCTATTCGAGAGCTATGGATCAGTAGTGCATTAATTCGATTTTTTTACAACAAATAAAATTCTTAGTTCATACTGGAAATTTTGGTCTAAGAGAATTCAAACGTTGGTACACATAAGATAATGGCTACAAAGTCAACAAAGATACTTAGTGTATTAAGGTGTCATTTGATGCCATCTTTAGAAGGGATCTTCAATAGAACGTCGACTAATCAAGGTGTTTTACGAAGTTTTGGCATTCAAACTAAAAACCGACTTTGATTAATGGTGATGAGATATATGTTCATAAATTTACAACGAATCTGTTTCTCAATGTTTAATAGATACGCTATATCTAGCTTTTTTTCTCGGGATTTCATTTCAAGCTCTGATTTAACAGTTTGTGCTTTTTTATGCCTAACAAGTTGAGATGCGCTACAGTAGCATGTTCGTATATATATATATATATATATATATATATATATATATATATATATATATAGAGAGAGAGAGAGAGAGAGAGAGCTTCAGATGATTAAAATGAAGTCCCCAGTTAAAATCATACTCTTGTATGTAGTACTGACACACTAAATGAATGGTAAGATGCTAAAAGAATGCTATATATTGCACTTATATTGAACATTACAAAAGGAAATGAAATTTGATAATTCATTGCAATTAATTTGAGAATATCGTGAAAAGAAAACTAAGAAATTCATTCGTATTTCAAAAAATTTCAATCCAAACAATTGATATTGAGTCATTACATCACATTATTACTCGATTAGTATTACTTTACTGTTCTATATCGCATACATACATATTAGTAGAGAGCTATGATGAAATTTCTTTCTTTTTATTTGCATTTTTACCTAATGTTTAAATGAAACTTTTCATTATACAAAGACGTAAGAAATCAATCAGAAATTTTCTATACATAAATTGTTTAACTGATAATCGATATCAGTTCTATAATATAAATTTTTCTAAATTAATCATTTTGATGACCTGACCTTAGAATTTGCAATTAGTTTAGTAGGTTCCTAGATTTATTGATTCATTATTTAATTAGTTATTAAGTTACTGGAACTATGAAGCATAAAACACAACTATTATTATGATTCTAAGTTATAGACTCTTTCTGCTTCTGTGTAATAAACACTTCATATTGTACAATTTAAGGGAACAAAGTAACATTCAAACTAAATCGAAATGAGATCATTTATAATGATTGAGAGTTTAAGTAGTTGAGGCAAATCATCCATACTGCATTAGTTGTAAACTCAGTTTTAAATCACCTTAAAGTAATTCCAATGTTTATACAACGTTGGTTTAAATAATCAGGTTCGAATGATTAGAAAGAAAATAATTTAAACAATTTATTTATTTTAGTTAGTATGGGATGGGATGTATACTGGAAACTTTGGAGCTTCAAATTATAGAAACAACTATCTAACACATAGATTATTTCAGTATGGTTAACCAGAATTATTAGCTACAAGGAATATCCTTGTTACTGTCAATATTTTGTTCAAAATTACATTTCCACAGTACTGGATGCTTTATTTCAAATTTTATCTTTTCAAGCACTGAATAGATTTGAAATACTTAACATTTCGCTAGCATAATCATTCGGTCTTTGCAGTTTGAATTATATTTTAACAGGTTAGTTTAATTTATCTTCTGTCCTTAGTAGGGTTCGTGAATATATATACATTTCAGTTTGTTTAAAAATATGTTCGTTCTAAATAATTTCAGGTTGTACAACTCTTGAATACAGATATGGTGAATATTATGCAAAGAAATCTTCAGAATAACTGGACAAGTCTTCATTTGGCTTGTCATTTAGGACTGGCAACAATAGTCAAATCACTTTTAAATTGTAACACATCCAATAAATTCATAAGAACAAATGAACTATATCAGTTAATATGTATGCAAACAACTGGAATTGAATCAACCAGTCAGGGTACAGCTTTACATTTGGCGGTTTATTCCAAAAATATAGAAACAGTAAACCAACTATTACATGACGTTGAACTAATAAGTAAATGTTATGAAAGTCAGTTCATTAAAAATGGGAAGCAACCTAAAGAAGAATTGAATTCTAAGGGGAAGTTATTTGACGAATTCTGTGTACTGACAGATAAAAATGGAAATACGGCACTACATTGTGCAGTAATGGATAAACTGTATGTTCGTTAACTTACCATTTTTTAGTGTGGAATTTTCAGTGTTTAATTTATGAAGGAATCATCGAGACACGATTAGGAAATCAAGTGCTGGCTGAACAATTTTAATCCGTATTTTTGATTGATATATTATATGGAATGAAATCAGTTTTAGGCAGCGACATGATCACACTCAGTTAAATAATAAAGCAGATTTGATCAGTTATGAGAAATCGGGAATTTTTACTACCTTTTAGGTAGAATTAGCGATTGTATTTGATAAGTCATTAGAATATTTGTCATAGTTAAACACAAATGAAGAGAATTGAGAGATTATCGGGTAGCTTATTGTGATTTATAATTCTCGAATAATGCATACTTCTAAAATACACTAGTCTATGACAGACTTTCTTAGATTTCGGGCTGGAAAAATCACCATTTTTCTTAACGTACTGATTTATCGAGTCAGATTAATCTTATGGTTACGGTTTTCAATAATAATAGATAACTTAGGGAATCTTCTGAACTTAATGAACGTTTATATTAACATTTAAAATAATCCGAAGATTTCTAGAAAATCAATAGTGGTTCGTTGTGTCAGTCTGAAGTATCAAAATGTCGAATATAATTAAATGCATTTTAAGTATAATCTAAGACATTTTTACAATTTTCCGATCCAACTGCAGTGTAGATTATCTGGTAAAGATCTGATATAATAACACATGAGACGGTCTATGATATTTGTATTAAAACAAAGCTCTAAATTAATCTGTCGGGGGTTAGTAGACAACACTATGTCAAATAATTTTTAGTGCTGGCTGAATTCTATCATTAATATAAAGTGTTTCTAGAAAATAAGGAGTTTTTAGTTTGTATAATCAAGTGTCCTTAGTTAAACAACCATTGAAAATTTTTAAGCTCTGGATGGCCATTTCACCCTAGTATGAAACTCCACAGCAGTGTGCGTCTACAAATTCAGCTGTTGTTGAACAATGAACATTAAGGACACGCGTCAGTTTAAATATCAAGCACTCTACTTCATATTTGAAAGTCCTGAATTCGATCTTCGTTGAGCTCGTCTATGTGCGCCACTAGGGAGTTTAGTGTTTATATATCATGATACCAGAGAATTTGTTTGATCCATAGCTTACAAATCAGGTTTTTTTAATTTTGTCTTGATGGTTTTAATGAAAGATAATTTATATTTAGGTTACATTGAACAGTGTTTACTTATTCAAGATTCAAGATAGAATTGCAGTTGCAGTACACGTGACCTCTAAAACTTTTTATAAAAACCCAACATTAATTAAACAACCATCTCATAAATCAGGAAATAATAAAGAGAAAGATTTCTATTGGCTTTCAAAGTTTCATTCTAAATCATCGATCACCATTAAAAATATATCTCTGTACCTAAGATTTTCGATTTTAAAGTATTGATTTTCATTACTGTCTAGCGTATGCTAGAGAATGACTGAAAATCAGTGATCAGTGAAAAGTTTTTCCACTCTAGTTTGAGATTTTGCAGAAATACACCCTAACAGCTCCATATACACAAGACAAATCTCAATGCTTTCAAGTCTCATACTGAATGGAACCATTATTCGACATTGGATCTCCTAAAACTACAACCTCAATAATAGTCTTATGCTCAATATTGAATAGATTTGAGATTGACCTTACGAATTTCTAGAGCAAATATATAATCTGTAGAGTTAAGTAAATCGGTAATAATAAAACAATGCACTGATAAAATTGACTAAAATTTTGAAATATATACTATCGGGTTTCATCACAGTAATATAAATAATTTTATACTCATTATGAAACACAAAAATTTTATTTTTCAATCCAGTATAGTATTGCATATAAACGATAGGGTGAAGTTTTAAACTAGGATGAAATAAATATGAATTACTTCTCGTATTTAATTGATCATTTGGGTGATGTTAATTTACAGTAGAAAGTAACTTTAAAGTGAATAACGCCTATAATTTTCCACTTTACAAAAATTGTCATACAAAATAATCTAACTAGGTATCATTACCAAGGTTTGACTTGATAATTTCGAATCAATTGAGCATTGAGTAGATTGTTATAAATAAAAATAATATATTTTTAATATCCCGATGAGTAGAAAAATTAGATTTTCTGACGTTTCGTGACTTAGTGTAAGCCGCTTCTTCAAAGAATAAACGTCAGAAAATCTGATTTTTCTACTCATTGAGATATTACAAATATATTATTTATCTATAAAGTAATCTAAGTTTCGATGTTATATTAGAGTAATTTATTCATAAATAAACAATTCACTGTAAAAAGAACATACAAATTACGTTATATTAATAGCTTACTATATGATTTCAGTTTTAATACAAATCTAGAAAAGATTTTGTCGTATAGTAATGATATAGCGTTCTTAACTTTAATGAACTGAATGTTTTATATTTTTACAATTTCAAATAATTTTTTTAATTAATTTAAACTTTTTAATGTAACCTAATCAATTGATTTCAATCAGAAAGGTATCCTACTTTTGAATAAGTGAAAAAGAATTTAATGAAGAAAATTTTTTTCGACGAAATAATTTACTTCCGCTGTACATTCATATATATATATATATATATATATATATTGCCGGTGTTAGGCAAGGTTGCTTACTCTTTCCCTTCCTCGTTCTCCTGGTGATCAACTGGATCATGAAGTCGTCAACATTTGAGGTGAAACATGGGATACAGTGGACAGCTAGGATGCAGCTAGACGACGTAGACTTCACAGATGATCTGGCTCTTTTATCGCAAATGCAACAACAAATGCAGAAGACGAATAGTGTAGAAGCAGCAGTAGGTCTCAAAATACACAAAACGAAAAGCAAGATTCTTCAATACAACACAGCATGCGACAATCTAATCACACTTGATGGAGAAGCTTTGTAAGATGTAAATACCTTCACATATCTGGGCAGCATCATTGATGAACACGGTGGATCTGATGCAGATGTAAAGGCACGGATCGGCAAAGCAAGATCAGTATACTGACAACTGAAGAAAATATGGAACTCGAAACAATTGTCAAGCAACACCAAGCTCAGAATTTTTAGTACAAATGTCAAAAACGTTCTATTGTATGTGTCGGAAACCTGGAGAACTACGGAAGCCATCATCCAGAAGATACAGGTGTTTATTAACAGTTTTTTATGCAAAATACTTCGGATCCGTTGGCCGAACACTATTAGCAACAACCTACTATGGGAGAGAACAAACTGGATCCAAGCGGAGGGGGAAATCAGGAAGAAGCGCTGGAAGTGGATAGGACACACATTGAGCAAAGCACCCAACTGCGTCACAAAGCAAGCCCTCACATGGAATCCACAAGGTCAAAGGAAAAGAGGAGGACCAGAGAACACATTACGCCGAGAAATGAAGACAGACATGAGAAGAATGGACAACAATTGGATAGAATTAGAAAGGAAGGCTCAGGACGGAGTGGGTTGGAGAATGCTGATCGGCGGCCTATGCTCCATTAGGAATAACAGTCATAAGTAAGTAAGTAATATGGAAAATATATGTCTATAGAAGGATAGAATAGATTGCATTATAAAATGGATTCAAGATTCTTATTATTAAATAAGATTATATACTAATCAATATACAGTTTAAGTAAATGATTTCGTCATAAAGAAAATTTTCTTCTTCATTGAATTCTCTTTTTTATATTCAATAACATTATAGATTATTTTAATGAACTTACTTTTATTATTTCAGTTACGATATTGTGAATTCAATCTGTAAATATCATAATAAATCAATTCGTTTACCGAATAAACATGGATATACATGTATTTATTTAGCTAAAAATATATTAAAAGATATAAAAATGTTATCATTATTAATTAAATATTCAAATTTATCAATAAATTCATATAATTCAGGACAATATTTATTTAAACAAAACAATTTAATAAAAAATACAAGAATTTCAAATTTAAATCAATTAAATAAAAATAATATAAAGAAATCACATTCTAATTTAATTAAAAAATCGGAAAATAATATTAGTAATAATAGTAATAAAAAGAAGAATAAACAAAAGAAATTTAAAAATCCATTGAATCATTTAACAATTGATCAGTTAAATAAGAATTTAAATTTCAATTATGGGTTTACTACTACTACTAATAATAATAATGGTAGTAGTAGTAAGAAATGTTATACATATTCATATAATGATGAAGATTATCATTCTGTTCGTACATTATCTACAAAATTTTCATATTTATCAATGAAAGAGAATAATAAAAAGTATTATTATAGACCATTTAGTGGATTATCTGGTAATCGTGTAGACTTAAATGAACGTGAATTAAATAGAAATTCCCGTTCAAGTATTGAACAAAATTATATTAAGAATATCTATGATGTACAAAATAAAAATAATTCAATACAATATAGTAAGTGATATTAAGTTTCTTAACTATTAATTATAGCGTTCTACAAATTTTTTTAATCTGATAAATTTAAGCATTTAGTTAACTTCAATAGTTGAGATGATGAGTCAATTGAAGCTAGAAGACCATGAAAAACTCAGTAGTGTCCATCTACATCCCCGCCTCGCGAGACTCGAACCCAGGACCTATCGGTTTCGCACTCGAAAGCTTAACCATCAGACCACTAAGCCTACATCCAATGGTGTTAATTTCTAAGTTCAACTAATCCACAAAATTGAGTAACGCATCCACCACTGTCATCAGCGAGTTACTATCTTACAACAGACCTGGTTGAAATCCACTGATCACTGCTTCCCATTAAAATTCCAGGATATACCTCTTGAAGTTATTCACTAGTGAGCATATGTTGATTAATATCAGAAGGGGTTTTGTGGAGATTTTAGTAACTTCAATAATTGATATCATGAATCATTTGAAGCTAGACCACCACAGCAAACGTGTAAGCACTGGACGGTCATTTCGTCCTATTGCGTGACTCCTCAGTAGTGCACATCCACGACCCCGCCTCGCGAGAATACAGAGTTCAGTAACGTTAGTCTTCAATAAACTAGTCTATCGTTTATAAAGGTATTCTGTTTTGACAAGCTTACTTCTACCTATCCTATATTAGTTTTTTTTTTTACTTAAGAAAATTTCATTCATCGCACATTTTTAACATAACCAATGCATATCCATTCATTTGAAGTTTAAAGTTACAGAATGATTAATATTATCAGTGCTTGAAGTCATTAACTTCTGGTCTTAGCCATGTTGATAGATGCAAACTACTTGGTTAGGGTCTGTGTGACTATCGTAACCAATGGTTGTAGACTCTGGGTGACATGGCTCAGAATATATATATGTACACTCTCTGTCTTCTCTTAAACTATGAGATTAAAATCGCTTCATATCTTTCTTCCTACGAACTAATTCTTTATTCCTGTACTATATCCTTATATGCAATCTTTATTCTATATTATTACCACCATTGAATTAATTACTTCTATGAATCTGGTGTTCATCTTGATGCGCTAATAAGGTATGACAACTTGGATCGGTGCATATATGTGTCCGGTCCTACGTTGTAGCTAACTGACTGATAATTTGTGAAAAAATACTTTAAATAATGACTTGTCTTATCCTTTGAAATATTAAGTGGTAGACATTTTATTACCAGCTTTAATAAAGTGGCAATAAAATTGGACTTTTTAATAATAATTTAGTAAGTAGACAAAAGTATATATTCCAATAACTTGGGAACCAGTTGTTTTACTTGTCAGTAACCGTATAGTAATTGTTTAAATATATATTCCTTTCGATTATAATATTATTATATTTCTGATCATATGGTTATTTGTTCATTTCTAACTTAATTACTAAAGTCAATGACAATATATCGATTGATTATTGATTTAATTGTATATAATAAGTAAAACTCTGAGAATGGAATGTAAAAGCACGATATTGAATACTAAGTAATTATTAAATTTAATGGAAGAACAATGAAAACAGATATATATTTAAATAGCAATAAAAACTTTTTTAATTAATTGTACTAAAGTTCATACCTAATAAAATTATTGATTTATCGATTATATAAAATCAATAAACAACAGACTAATTAAAGTGTTTATATTCAATAGTTGAATATACGTAATGCCAAGAACCTAATCATGTAAGAGTGGTCTTTTTTCCTTTTTAATGATCCATTGTATAGTTTTGAAATTTAATATCATAGACTGGTATTAATTAGACAACCATCAAAAACCGAAGAGTGCTCAAGCTCAGAATCTTTTAGCAGCGTATGGATTGCCTTACTTTTAAACTACTGAGTAAAGATTCAATGAATTACGTTTCTAACTTAGAATGTCATGTGAAATTAAGTAGGTTTATGTTGATGAAAGTATGAATCGGCTTTGATAACATTTTATAGAACATATAAATGTGTGAAAGACTGACTCATTATATGGTGGTCAATGAAATGCACTAGACATCAGTGTTTATCGAATAATCTTTTACAACCAGATACTAGTTCTTATAAACGTAAAAGCATAAAATTCAGTCAATTTTTTATTCAGTTATCTGATATAAATGTATTAGGTCTTATAGATAGGTAGCTAGTTATCAATTACTCGGGAAGGTTTTCAAGCAAATTGAAACAATTTCATCTCTTTACTGAACATTTTAACAATCTTTGAAAACTAGGAGGCACACGACAGCTGTTTGGTCCTAATAATGAACTCTTCATAGGTGCGCATCGACGACCACACCGTGGACAGAATCCAATGCTTTTACATCTTGCAGAGATCACTTCACTCTTAAACAACTAAATTCGGACCTAATCTGAATTAATTCATAATACTGCTCAATCATCTTCCAACGCTATTGGTAGGTTAATGCCTCATATTAGACATGACTGGACTCCGTTGTTTATAGCTCCTCATTAGAACTCGAAGAATCATCTTCCGAAATCAAATAATCGTGAGCACTTGAATATTACTGGTATGGAGGATTTGTGAACACTGTTAAATTTCATGGTTTGCATCACAAACTGATCTTGATTAGTCAACCAATGAAAACCAGAGAACACTGAACAGTTTTATAACTAGCGGACTTATTAATAGTCCCCATTAACTCATAATAACGTATAAGCCTGTTGTATGTAGTTTTAGATAGTACCTAATTCATTCTAAATAATAGCTTGAATTAGTATAAATCAGATGCTATTTATTATATTTCTGATTATTCAATGGTTGTCTAACTAAAGTCAAATCATGATATATTAAATTTATCAACATAATTTATGAATTTTATCAAACCGTTTATATTCTGATTTACTTCAGTTTATATAAACAAATAGATACTATAAGGTTCTACATTTAAAACTTTGTTTAGTCCTTATGAGCAATAAATTATGTGTAGTTTAAAAAAAGTGACCATTTTATAAAATAAAATCTAATGTATGTTTTACATACGCGTATAATATCAGAATAGATTTTCAGTAACAGTAGTGTAACATAAATAACTGTGAAGGATTATTCCTCCAAGCTTACAATCTTTTGTATGTTAATTAGAATATAAGGATAATTCTTCTATCTTTTCATTCGCATGGAAAATGTTATTGAATTGAAAGTAATGTTAATTCATAATTCATTATTATGATATCGAATCCGATCGATTTGTCAATGTATAACAGTAAGGGAATATCATAATAATATGCATTTAATCAAATGAATTAAACTAAGTTATACAGAATTATTAAGATAAGTTTCTTGATTTTCACTTTTTATCTTGAAAGATGTAGTTGAACCCTTAAAAATTGAAGTTTGAGCTCACGATATTGCGATACTTGAGTCCTCTAGTTAACAAATGTTAGCTAACTTTAATTATAAGCGGTTTTCATCATCAGTTAATTACTGTTTATAGTTCGACCCAGAACTGTCTCATTCATGAAATCGATTGATTAGAACCAAATTATTTGAATGCGATTTATAATTGTATGAATTTTTATCATCATAGTCAAGATTTAAATTTTCGAGGTTGTGAATACTGATTAGCATCAATGAATGAAAATATAGGTTAATGATTTATACACAATTATCACCTAATATGTACCTCAATTTACGAACTCTTTAATCACTTATCAGTACTAATTTTCTGATTCAATAAATTAAGAATCACTGGTTCGAGTCCAGGTGTCATGGTAATTTCTCTTCCAAACTTTTAACACATCATATTAAACTCTGAAAATTAATCTTATCATCGAATATTGAAACAATATACGTAAATTAACTTTGAATAGTCTTTATTTTAAAATAACATTTAGAAAACGTTAGAAACTATGTTATGTGTACGTAAGACAAAATACTCAACAATTATTATCATTATTATTGTTATTATTAGTAGGCTTATGTAAAAGAGTATTAGCTCAATACAATCATATTTATAATCATGATTCGTTTGATATAATACTACCAAGACTTGTACTCAACTAGTATTACATATAATGTATATGAATCTCTGTACAAACCTAATACTACATTATTCAAAAAAAGAATAGTGTATTCAATATTTGTTGTATTATCTGTAAAAAATGTTGTCGGTGTTAAATGTGATTAGATTTGGTGAATAGCAGTTATTGACAAAATCTATTTGTAGCTTACAGGACATAAATTTGCATACTAAAATGTCTGTCTCTCTTTCTCTTTATCCTCAAACTATTATGACTCAACTCTAGTTGCACAAATTAAAATGTCCACTGTATTCTGAATACATAGGTTAAACTAATGAATTGAAACGAAGTATAATACTCTACAACCAAATTTGTTCAATCCTCTCTTCGATGAAGTTATTCTTAACTCAGTCCCCAACGATTAAGAAAATAAAAGAAAGAAAAAAGTTCATTCTCACTCCAATGAACAATGATCTTGGTGTAAAGTAGTGGGTAGTTGTAGAATCTTTTATTATTTATCATTCAGAATGAGGATTTTGTATCACCAGACTTAATAGTATTCCTGCTATTTTTTAAAAGTTCTATCTTTCAGTTGATTAGTGTCAACAATTTTCTGGAAAATAATACGTTTTCCAGCACAGACTTACATTCAAATATGTTCCTTTCAATAATGCAGCTAGAAATAATGTCCACGAACTATTCAAAAATCATTTTAGTTTAGGCAGTAAAATATGTATAGGCATAATTGTCCCTGATGTAATTCATCACTAGGGATTAATGGTTTGTTGATATGAGCGACAACATCAAACAATTCTTTACCCACTTCCGTTTGAGAAACATTATCCTTCATACACACAGAAAATATAAATAAAAGTTCAGTGTTTTAATCACCACGAAGATGAGCTACATTATTTGGTTATATGATATCACTAATGAAATCCTTTCGGACACTAAATAAAAAAAATCAACATATGAAATTAATTTCATCGTAATACAAAAGTTATGTATCCATAAAATTCTTATGGATTAAATAAAATCTTCATGTTTTATATAACTTATTCTCTATTTTCTTATTATCGGATTGTGAACTGATGAGATACTTACTAAACTGCTTTTAGTTAGTAATATCAAGAATCTAAAATAAACTAACAAAAGTTCAGACTGTAATTTGTAAACAAATAACTCATACCTAATAACACTGGGTTTAATTTTGTTAGCCATCATAGAGGTAGATCTCCTCAGTGTCTCAAACTAAACTTAAGAAATTGTCCAGTGTTCTCCGATTTCCAATAGCTCGTCAACTAAATTCAATTTATAATAAAAAAGTGTTTTAAAGTGGCCAGATCTTCATAAACCCCTTAGTCCAGTCATTATGTAAGATGACTGAAGTTAGTAGCTATGACTTAAAAAATTTTCAGGGAAAGGCAGGAAAAACATTTTGTGTTTTAAATTTTTTGAGCTAATTGATATTTATTTGTCAGTTTAGGGTTGTGGAGATAGTCACATGTCATTGGAATCTCCACAAGCTTATACTGACAGTTATAATGTGCTCGTTAGTGACTAAATTTGAGAGTAATTTTTCGGATTTCTAGTTGAAATCCGTGACCAGTGGAGATAAACTATGTCGGGTATGAGGAGGGTACCCATCAAATACAATAGGAGACAGTCGCGCACTTTCGTGGACTGATTAAATTTAGTCTTGTACGTCACTGTATCCCAACTCAGTGGTCTTAGTATTAAACATTCATGCGCGTAACCAAAGGTCTCGGCTTCAACTTCTGCATATGGGGTCGTGGAAGTGCACTGATAAGGAGTCCCACAATAGGAAGAAACTGCTATCGGTGCTCCCAGGGTCTCAATAGTGGCCTAAATTAGATCGGTTCATGATTCCAACGATGTTTTTTCATTGAGATTTACATATCTTATACGTATTCATTGTACATTGAGTTACTCCTAACATTAAACTCATACCATATTGACATTACAGAAAAAAATATCTATTAGAAATACTAAAGTAGAATGAATTAATCAAACAGGTACTTTTACAAAGGCTTTGGAAGTAGAACACAGAAACAGATTACTAAGAGTGTGATCTATCGAAACTCACATTGGCCGGGAGTAAAAATAATAGATCCCTGACGATAGGAAATTCAGTGAAGATTAATGAAAATTTAAGCTTACTAAAAAGAAATGACAAATTGGTAAGAGATATAATCGGTGTTTTAGAAATTTAATCATCCACAAATAATTCTTTATCTCAAGTGATTATCAATGATACTTTACAATGACTTATATTAATTAGTTGACTGAGTGAAATCTGATTTTGGATTTATTAATACTTGGGAAACCATTTTAATAGGTTTAAGCTATGCGAAGTGAAGTAACCATGGGAATAGTTCATATTTTTTTAGGCCAGACAATATGATTTAATCTTTTAATAAAGCACAATTATTTTATCACCTTTATTAAGTGATTTATTATAGTAGTAGAGAGCTTACTAGAAAAACCTTAGCTTCACTACTTCTATAAGCTGTTAAGTTTAAATTTTTCGGAAATCTGAAGCCAGTCGATTTCGCGAACTTGCTACATATATTTTCAAATGCTGTCATCGTTTGTGTATAAATACAAACTTTTGATTCATGATGAATTTATGTAGTGTATCTTATAAATCTGATTCAATTCCCTCCTTTTACTTTTTACAACCAGACGGCTCAAATGAACCATGTATTGCTAGTTGTAAAAATAATGCTCCTTTCGCTACTACGCTACAAGATAGCCTGATGTTACAGCCTGAAAATATTGATCAACTGGCTCATCAGCAGAAAAAAGGGTCTGGGGACAAAAATGTAAGTTCTAAGACAGTCATTATTATTTAAGTTTTATAGACTCCGAACAAATCAGTGCATTTCGAAATTAGTGCTGCATTGAAGTTTCAGTACTCATTCGAATATATTATTCAGTGTTTTAGTTTATAGTGGCTTCTCGATGAGTGTTTTTTCTAACTATTGTAAAAATTGTAAATAACTAAATAATTATGTAGCCAATCATTTATTCAGAGACCTTAGTGTCTGTCCAAACAAAACTGGAGTTATCAGGTACTTTTTCCAAATTATTTAGTACAAAATAAATCAATAATGGTAATTCCTGACAGCCTAATGAGTTCTATGTTTATTGATACAATGAATGGATCATGTAATGAAATATCATGGTTAATTAATAAAATGTTAGGATCCTCTTTTTCAGTTCACAATTATACCAAAATGATTATGCAGCTGAAACACTTGGTTTCCATACCACAACACTTTGATTTGAAAATGAGATCCAACTCCAAACTATGAGATTTGTAGTTCACTGAGATCTACACAGTTTTACAGATAATTTCACAACCTCATAGTATTACCAAGGAACTTGTTGGAACTCATATATGACAGGTTGTAAAATTCGAAAGTTTTAAAAGTAATGACAGTTCCTAAAGCTGATTAACACTGATTTACAACTAATAGTTTAGTCAACTTTCAATATTTTTTAGATTTGTCAATTAGCTACTAATAACATTAGTAATATTACCAATAAAACGGAAATGGATGCACTTACCACTGTCACAACAACAACAACAACAACAACAACAACAACAACTACTACTACTACTACTACTACTACTACTAATAATAATAATAATAATAATAATAATAATAATAATAACAATAATAATAATGAAGATGATTCTGACGATTATTACAAGATGAACAGTACAAGAAAAGGTATCTGTTTAATCATTAATAACATGATGTTTTGGCACTCGGATTTTCAGGTAAGTTGTGATTAAAATCAAATATAATTGATGTTATGAGTAAAATGTGACTTTAACTACATGATTTAATACAGCTCTTAAGATAGAACCTCCTTATTAAATCAAAAATTATAGAATGAGTCCAGAAAAGTGGAAAATGTACTATGTAGATATGTAATTGATTTGTCTTGGTTGTTTAAATCTTTCCATTGTTGTTGAAGACTGCAACTGATCAGTCTCTTTTGGCCTATGTGCATCCTGTATGGATTGCCTCCATATTACCATTAAGTCACAAGTAATGTGTATACTTTTTTTTAAAATTTATTTGAGCCCATAAACATTGGTACAAGGAGGCACCAAATACAAATGCGTCACACAATAACAATGAGGTTGTGAAGAGATAATAAAAAGAAGTACAATAACGAAGGAAAATTTTTGCACGATAGTGAAATAATAATAATGGGAGAGGCAGTTCAGTTAGCAAAGGCACAACCAGGAATAATTCTTCCAGTTACAAAAGTAACGTCCATTTTTTATGAAGAAAGTAAAATAAAGTTACAACAGCTTTGACACTGGCTTCTATTCTGAGCGAGATCTGGTAACGTCTCAAGCCAGTATTGCGCCATCTCTAGGACCACAACCAAGGAGTCCTGAAGTAGCAACAGAAGCCAGTCCGGTACAGCTTTCTTTCATATCACGACACCATGTCATACACTGACCACCTCTCCGCTTTTTCCAACCAGTCCCAGAGTCGGCAAATAATGCACGACGTGGAATTCTCTGTGCGACATTCGCAGAACATGTCCAAACCACTGGAGTTGATGTTTCAAGATAGTTACACTAATTGAATTATCGTTGCTGTGCCAAAACACACGATACCAAACCTTTGCATTACTAACATAGCACTGCCACTGGATGTCAGCAATCCTACGGAGAAAACGATGATCAAACAAAGAGAGTCGCCTAACATCCCGAACTCGGAGAGGCTAGATATCACAAACATTGAGCAAAACTGCTCTCTCCGATGCGTTGTAGGTCCGATTTTTGCAGCCAAAGATGGCCTAAATTAGCATAAGCCGCTCTGGATTTTATTATACATGAATTGGTCTCACCACTCACACTACCAGTAGCACTTATGCAACTACCTAGATGCACGAACTTCTCCACTAATTCTATCTACTCACTACTCAGGGTGAGTGCAGGGTCAGGGCTCTGCCAGTCTTATAAAAGCACTTTGCACTTCGAAGGTACAAAGTATATGCCATACCTACGGACACTAATTGCCAACTGATTAAGTGCTGATTGCATGGTTTGAGTATCATCGCACAGTAAAACAATATCATCCACATACTCAAGGTCAAAGTCTTTCTCTATGCAACAGATTCACACCCCCACTGACCACTCCCATCAGAGCAAAGTCGGAGAGGAATAGTGAGATTGGACAACCCTACAATAGAGAGAGATGGCTGTATGATTCCACTCTGCCTAAAATGTTTGTATATAGGGTTCTCAGGATGTTAATCAACTTCTCAGACACACCCTTCTTCAATAGACAATCCCACAGAACGGTCCTCTCCAACGAAACGAAGGCGGCCCTAATATCAAGAAATACTGTGATCGTTGGCCTGTGATAAGTATGGTGATGTTCTTGCATTTGGTGTGTGTGTGGGAGTGAAAACATGATCAATACACCTTCGACCAGAACAAGAACCAGCCTGATCCTTGCGAGTCAATCTCTCCCGGGTTTCGAACAATCTACCAATTATAACGGAAACCAATAGTTTGGCCGCAACCGAAAGTAGACTTATCACCCGATAGGGACAACTAGATTCATTCCACGGTGTTAGAACACTCTAATTGCCAGGCCTTTGTAACCAACTCAGTCAATTCCTTAACTAGAAATCCACCATCATATTTAAAAAGATTCGGAGGTAAGTCATCTGGATCTGGTGATTTGTAGTGCTTCAGGATTTGGAGTTACTTGCGGTCTTCTGTCTCGTTAGGTGGATCAGTCGTTGCAGACCATGAAGGATAGTACAGTCTGGTCTATGTTGTCAGGGTAGCAGACCAGTCGAATTATTCCTTGAAAAACTCAGCCCATCGTCCGAGACTTTCGGCAGTTACCGGAAGCAGCTGATGTTTCCAGTTCATTAGCACGCTCCAACCACCAGACTTCTCAGTCCCTAAGCAAGCTTTTCACAATTTCACTACGTAAAAATCTTCGTTTGTCGTCAAATTCGCGGTCACTTGGAGTAGACCGACGTGCTTCGACCAGTTGTAAAGAGCCTATAAAAACCCAATGCTTATAAGCGGGACGTTTCGCGAAGTCGTAGGCGACTTTACTCAACATTTTTATGGCGTCATGCAATTGCAGTGAATGCTCATCTAAACTATCAGAAACAACATACTGTGGGAGAAAACAAATCAGATCCATGCGGAGGAAGAAATCAGGAAGAAGCGCTGGAAGTGGATAGGACACACATTGAGCAAAGCACCCAACTGCGTCACAAAGCAAGCCCTCACATGGAATCCACAAGGTCAAAGGAAAAGAGGAGGACCAGAGAACACATTCCGCCGAGAAATGAAGACAGACATGAGAAGAATGAACAACAATTGAATAGAACTAGAAAAGAAGGCCCAGGACAGAGTGGGTTGGAGAACGCTGGTTGGCGGCCTATGCTCGATTGGGAGTAACAGTCGTAGGTAAGTAATAGCTAGCCTTGAACGTAGCTAAGTTTGATATTTAGTTGCAACAGAAGCTTCAACCAATTTGCTGACATCGATCAATTTGTTGGCCACTGAAAAGTAAGGTAAAATTAGCACAAACAATGGCATGATTAGAGTCCAGAAAGGTACTCCAAAATAGCGACAGTCTTTTACACTTTGATGGGACCCTCTAATCTAACAGCACATAGCTGACCGTTAATGGGAATCCAGTCTATTAGTGCTGCCTCAACAACACCAACGTCAGCAAGACCAGACAAAGATGCCGCAGGGTCCCCGGATAAACGCACGTGAAACAAGCTTTCCGAAGCGACAGATGGAGAGCGACCTTGTAGTGCTTCCCTAGTCTTGAATGCTTGTCTCGGATAGACAAAAATCATCGACATTAAGACTTCCTAAAGACATAGCCAACCCTATCTATTGTCTAACCTGCATTAGTGTGCAAACGTTGAAGGAGGCCAGTTTGGATGATTTCAAAAAGTCTGTTTCAGTATTCGTATTCGGTGGTAACATTCAACTTTTAAGCAGTCCCTGACTTGAGATTGTTCAGACAGGACATGGTTTCCACCATAGGCGAGCTGCTGCAGAAGCCGAAAAATAAAAGAATACACAAAATGAGGATAAAAGGGAGTAGATAAGTGATGTAGTATAAAAGAAATCAAAAAAGTGTTGTCAACTGATGGTGAGTGAAAATTGTCTGGATGAGTGTTGAAGCAAGAGTAATTATTCCAGTAGTAATCATCATTTGGTTTGTATGAGATCCGGGACACTTCCCGGGCGCCCAAACCGAAGCAGGTGGTTTTTTAGGGGACTACTCACCGAGTTTTTGACCTAGAGGTCTAATCCACAAGGCAGTAAAGCAACGTTAGGCGATGTAGTCCCATGGTGGCTGGTGACCAACAATAGGTTAATACACCATTTGTTCCCTCAGGATCCTGGAGCCTATGTGCACCGTTGGTTTGGAATCAGGGTTTTCCGACTCCCCTAGTTGAATCGTCTGTACCCACCAACCCGGTTCGAGCGCCGGACATTCACTTTTCATCCATCCACAACCACTAATAACCAGAAAACCCTGGTCAGTTTTTTCATTCTATCACGGAACTCATTAACAGTGAAGATAATTAGGCAACGAACTCCAAGACGTTCATAGCTCTCAGCTTGTGAATAGCTTTCAAACCAACGAGTTAGTGTATAATGGTGTGAATCTTTAGCTTCAGTCAATTAGTGCATGACACTACGCTATTATCATCCATTACTGATGGGGATATCTATAGTTTATTAAATGTTCCTAACCGGTTCGTATTTATTTATTGAAATAAAAAGTAAACAAATAAGTTACCTTATCAAATTTGTGTGATCTGAGGGAAATCATCCACAAAATACAGAAACCGATAAGCCACTGGAATTTACGAAGCACTGAGCGTGCTTTCACTATATTAAGAATTACCTGGGATTGGAAAATACGAATCATTGCTTTTTGACTTCATGATTGGATAGTATCATTTCTAGCAAATGAACTGGAGCTTTCAAATCCTATAATGTGTAAAATCACGATTATTGTATCAATAAATAATTTCAGACTAGGTTGAAGCACCCAACTGATACGTTTTAATGTTTGAAAATAATTGAAATTATGCTCATCTGTGATGAAAAGATTGCTTAATTTAATGTCTTAGAAAAATACTGTAGTCAAGTAAATTCTATCACATCAGTCATTGAGCATAAAATGTATTTCATACTTATCATTCTTTTGTTCCATTTATTTTTCTGGCTATATTCAAGATAGTAAATTTCCACTTTTATTGACATCATTATCATCAGTTCTTTGACATTCGATCTGTTAGTTTCTGGTTATTATTATAAATTTCTTTTTTATTTAAATCCAGTATGAGTTTACTTACACTTAGTGTGTCAAAAGACAGACCGTTCATCCGTCCCACAATCTATGAATTAGAATGCCATGAAGATCGGCTGAGCACATTGTACTATTCTGTATGTACAAAACTGAGTCAAAGGTTTGTGATAAAATTACTGTGGTAAAAGAGATAACGATAGTTAATAAGGCAAATAAAAGTCTGAAATTAGGACGATGTGACAATACCATAATCCAAGTGTTTAATAAATGGGATTTTAGAATATAAGTACTGATTTCACAGAGAATAGCTTTCAAAGTCTTATATTTTCAGTTATTCGTCTAGTATTAACGACTGTTATAATGTGAAATGTATTAAACTTAACTGATATCCAATAGTACCTGGTCCCACTCTTTGTATAACTCCCTCTTTAAGTAACTTTACTATCTGACGTAGTGATCGTGTCAATAATGTTTTCTCTTCACAATTCTTACAGAATCGTTCTGGCTGTGATATTGATGAGAAGAGTTTAGAAAATGTTTTCGGATCATTTAACTTCCTGGTGAAATTACTTCGTAATCTATCAGCTGGTGAAATACAAGCTCAACTGGAACACTTAGGAAAGAAAACAGATCATCATGAATATGATTGTTTAGTAATATGCCTTATGTCACATGGAACTATTGGTCGTATATATGGAGTTGATGGAAATTCTTTATCAATACATGAATTAACTTCCATATTTACAGCTGATAATTGCCCTTCTCTAGCTGGTAAACCAAAATTATTCTTTATTCAAGCATGTCGTGGTGAAGACTATCAAAAAGGCTATGTTATACAGAAACAATCAAATGAAACTACTCAAACTAAAAATGATCTAACTGATCAAAAGGATGTTGATGTTGATAATTTCATTCAGCATCAGTCATCCAATTTAAATCTAAGACTATCTGTTTCTGATGCGAAATTTATCGGTTTCAAATTAGACAATTTACTCCATAATTCTATACCACTTCATCGATTGAACAATGTACAGTTAATTCCCACCTATGCTGACTTCTTACTAAGTTATGCAACTGTTGCAGGTTTCCGTGCACAAAGAGATCCAACCGGTGGTACTGTTTATATTCAGGCATTATGTAAACGATTATATAACGGATTAAAAAATGAAAGTATTCTTGATATAGTTACAGCTGTACACCGTGAAGTTAGTAAACAGCTGTATCAAGAGACATCTTGTCAGTTAATGAAAACAAATGGTGAATTATTTCTTCAAATTCCAGAAGTTAGACATACACTAACAAAGAAAGTTTGTTTTAAACGATAAAACATGGAATATAGTTTTCTCGAATTTCATTACTATTTCTTTAAAATCAATAATAACAATGATATTAATTGTATTAATATGGAATTACTAATTAATTGAGAAAACAACTTATTACCACATCTCGGATTATCATTCATATCGAAAGACTACATTTTGTGATCCAAACGGCTAAGAAGGTGTACGAACTGATTCATGAATGCTAACAAATTTTTAGTCATTAAAAAGTAGTCAGTTGGTGAGAATTCAGACTGTAATCGCTAATTTGGATAACTAAACAATATTGTTCACAGTATTAATCATTAAAAACACACAGATTTCTTACATATGTGCACACTATTAACAGTAAAACATATTTGGATATCCACGGAATCATAGTTTTGAAACTCGAAACTATGATGTTTGGTGAAGAGATAAATCCAAAAACCATTATAGTTGAACTATTCAAGCCACAGTCAAGTTTTAACATTGAGATTTAATGACTTACATTCGTGGACACGCATGTGAAGATGCACACATAATGCAGTACACTAAATTCTCGTTTTTTAAGAACTATGGTAATGAGGACCCATATGAACATCCTGGTTTTACCAGGAGTCAGTACTCATTCGGAGAACAGTAACGGCTTAGGCTCGAGTTTTAAATGAAAAGGACTAGAATTAGGGAAAAAGCTTAAGTGTGGTAGAGGTCGATAATTATTAACCAGTAAAAGTGAACACAGTAGTTTCGTGAAAGGGTTCTCACAAAGTGATTTATATCAAATAACAGATGACTTTTGCCGACGTGAAAGTGTGGTATTTGATAGAAGACTGATTACTGTACTGGTAATTAATGCCCAGTAACACGCTGTGTATTCAATTGAGTTTCCATCAAACAGTCAATATGTAATTTCTTTTTATTCGTAAGCCTTACATGAAAAAATACGACACAACGTGAATAAGATTGGCAGACGAATGTTTATTTGATACTAAAAACAGATTATTCATTAGGCCTTAATGCACTTCTTTTCAGATAGATTTATTTTACATGGGTTGATAGTAAAGTCCTGAAAAAAAGTACTAATTAGTCAATAAACATTCGTATACAACCAGTTTATCAATGTCGCAAGACTAAAAACACACCAAAACAAAGCAGTCCATTTATTGGATTCTATATTTGCTTAACATCTCTTTTGCTAACAGCACGTATTACCAAGAACACTAGTAAACAGCTATGGTGCACCAAAAACTCTGGATAGGCTGTTATACAACACCTGTCACTAATTTCAAAAAATCAGTGGTGTGTAGTTCTGATAGCAACTTATTGATAACAAAGATAGCGGATATCGTGCTTGTTTTTATCGGTACTAAATAGATATATGACATTTTCTTTGGATATTCAAGATTCTATACGGCGCGATCGGAATATTGGCGTAAAGAGTAAATACAAAGCAAATGCACTATAATATAACAGTTTTTAGTTCATACAACTAAGTTTAGAGTTGCTAATATCTGAATATTTACTTTTAAGAATTTTACATACGGAGGAAGGGCACAAAACACTAGGTAATTAACAGATCTGTCATATTAAATAGTGATCTTTATGCAGTGCACCATACTAAAGTGTGAAATCTCTCCACAGTTTTCTGGTGTGGAATTTAATACAGAGCAATATTATCTGAAGGCGAGTCGACTAATGTCACACTCCTACCTGGTACATGGAAATTTCTGGTTCTCCAGACATCACAAGTTAGGCCGGAACTTTGCGTGTGCCTTTCAAATGAGTTAACTATCTCTAAAAACGTGAGTAGTGGTTTTAGGATGTTTTAACATCAGACAACAAAAAATAAAATTCGTTTCCTGTCAAGGGCTCAGAGAAATCTAACAATACAAAATACCTTCTAAGGAATAAAGTAGGAAATCACAAATGTAAAACATCTTTTTTAACTTGTCTAATTATTTTAAAAACAACTTAATTTATGTACAAAACAAGACTGTAAACACGAGAAAAAATTGAAGAGTATAAGGATTTACAAATACACAATGAAATCAACCGAGAATGGAAGAAGCACAACGTATATACACAGATAACTAAACATGTTTTGTTAATAAGACTTGAGCTTTTCCACAAGGTGTGACGACAAATAAACAGTTGAAAGTCACCTAAATGTATATGTATGTGCATGTATTTCGAGTTATTTAGTTTTTTAAAAATAATGAAGTGTGAAAAATAAAGCATAATAAGATAAAAAGAAAATAAAGTTATAGACTTAACGTGAAAGAGGGAAAGGAAACATCTGGAAACATATTCATTTTTTCAGCGTAAACGATAACTTTGGTCGAATTCGCTTTTTATTTAGAATAATTTCTTGTTCTCTTTTGATACGTTGGAGCTCTTCAGCTTCGCGTCGCTGACGTTCTTCAAGTTCACGTAATTCTGCTTCACATCGTTTACGCTCAGCTTCTTCCTATACACGAAAGTTAATAAAAAATTACTTTCCTTATAGTACTTAATAATAATAATATTTGTACCCTAACATGTAATTTAAGGTAAATAGAACATTTTACCAAAAATCACAAAACAAAGATCAGATTGTTAATTTCTCCAAAGTTACACAACACCATAGCAGATTAGGAGACAAATCCAATTGATGCATTACGACGCTTATAACAAGTAACAGCATGAGATACGCTGACGAACAGTGTTGTAGAGTGGGGTCGAAAAATGTTAGCAGCTGGAATTCGATTTTATGTTCCGAGAAAGTCGAACGATTCCATCAAGTTAGAGTAGATCCTCCAATTTTTAAAAATAAATCCCAAGAGAATAAAGATAGAATCTCTAACTTATGAGATTTACTTCTAATGTGACTTTCATGGACGTTATGTCTTAATTTAAAGATGACATTAAACTAAACATCATCTATTTTTGCACACTCAGTTTTTAGAACGAATGTGATAAAACTGTTACTGTAGTATATCTATAATTTAACCGAGATAAATTTTCCATTATATTAACAAAAAGCAAAGCATGATAATCGAAAAGCTTATCGGTCGAATTTACTGAGGTCAAGTGTCGACCGCTCATGACCTCCAGTAATTCAGTAAGAGAAAACTGATAGGCTCAGCTCAATGTTTAAAACTAATATGCCAATTGATAAAACAAATCTTTCTGTGGGTGTTAAACGGTTGCCCAAAAAGTCCTTGTTTTTTTAAAAACTTCGACGAGACATGTTAGTCTAAATAAACGAAGCCCATAACTTCTGAAAAATATACAAAAACATCAATAAGGGAACGCTTACTTCCAAGCGTCTTTGTTCTTCGAGTTCCCGTTCCCTCTCTTGAGCGAGGCGCTCATTGAGCTCCTTTAGTCGTTTTTCTTCTTCCTATGTAGGCAAAAAAATTCAAGTTGAAAAAGCAGCGTTGATTAAGACAAATAATAGTTCGCCTTCTGAAAAAATAGTGACCACTGGTTACGCGCATTCAGCTTGATTCAATGTGAGTTTAGATCAACCTTTGGAGTAACATTCTATTCTTTTACTTTAGGCATTTTAAAACTTCGTACTGTGTTCCGAGTTATGTAAAATTCGAACCAGTTTACCATTATGTCGTTATAAGTTCTTTACTTCATTTGATTAATTTTGCATCCCCGTTAACTCAGCAATCAAGTACAGGTCTACGCACTCAGCCATAAGCCACGCTTTAAATTTAGGGTAGTGATGTTATCCGACTGCTCATTTTACTGCACTGATGTGGCGTGGCAACTTCAATGTATTTATACCAGGCTCTACATTACTTACGACTGAATACGAACTGGATGCTAAGTTTAAATACAACCTTGGTATTCTGACTGTTAACCCCACTGACTTGAGATTAATCTCTTGAATCTCCAAACTACCCGTAATTTTTCTAATCTTATGAACTATAAAGACGATGTCTAAATACCATAAATCACCACAATTGCTTTCGTCCTTAGTGACATGGCTGCAATTACTGAAGAAATATTTTAAGGCTTGTAACTCTCGTTCGGAACAGTCATACATCGTTATCTACCCTTTCAGACTTGATTTATTGTCTGGTAGTTTGAACTGTAATGCTAATGATTTCATATTTATTTAGAGCCTCATCTAGACAAATGGAACAGAAAAACGAGTCATTATGTCAGACGTTATATAGGAAAACGTACTTCACGTCGTTGTAATGCCTCAGCTTCTTCTCTAGCTTTACGTTCAGCTTCTTCAGCTCTTCGGCGTAATACTTCAGTACGTTCAGCCTCCACTCGTCGTTCAATTTCGGCATTAAACTGGACTCTTCGTAACACAAGTAACTTAGCAAGCTCAGAGTCCAAGTAACGCTCCAGACGTCGTGCGACTTCCTCCTCAAGAAGTTTGGATTCTGCCCACCGTTGACGTCTATAAAACAATAAAAGTTGGAGGATTGATTAAGTAACAAGATGTGAAACAGCCTGGCAACTATATAATGAAACTGTGACGTCCGTCGCTAGGTAAAAGTATTGTATAAGACTCTAGTACGCATTAATGAGGAAATTTATGATTTCCGAAGTTCCTAGTCTCTTAATACATTTCATACGAGCTTATGGATGCTTGGACTGAGATGAAGATGTAGATTTTTTGAAACTACTACAGTCCTATCTAGGAACGAGTGATGAAACTAACGAGTATACATTTTGAGATTCCCTATGAATTAAAATATTTCACCAAATCCACACTATAACCTTTTGCTCTTTGTGACAGAGTTCCTGAAGGTTACTTGTTTTATAAAACATCATTTAGGTTTAAGAAAATGCGCAGGATGCTCCTCGACTGCATCACACACTTCAGTACTAACAAGTCACCATGTAGATTGACTTATTAGGTCATAAGAAATTTAGACGCCGTCATTTCCTAGTCTACTACATAATGTTAACAAGCAAATGTTTGGCCTTGATTTTTCTTTCTTATTACTTGGTGCCAATCAACTACGGGACTAGTATGTAATTAGTAGCATGGGGAAAATTAGACTTGGACAGACTCGAACCATTTAAAAAAGCATTACTTGGCCATGATTAACTTACAATATCCGGTCTTCCTCAGCTCTCTGTTCGTCGCGCCTACGAATCTCTTCATTTCGCCCATTGCGTTTGATTTCACTGACTAAGAAGGAACCAGGAGAACTGGTCCGACTTGAGGCACTGCTACTATTTCGGTGCCTGAAAAGATTCAATACAGGTACTTAAGTTCGGGTTGATGTAGACATCAGACTAATAAATCATTCGTACTTATTTAATCATCCTGGGGTTGCACTTCTGCGACTTCTTAAACGAAAGATATGGCTAGCTGTGCATGAAAGTAAACACTTGACAAAACGAATTAAGTGCGCAACCCCAACCTTTTTCGAGGACGATCAGCACGCGATCTGGAGTGCATAACGGGAGAACCCGAGGCACCACCACGATCAACCATCACTAGGACGGTATGGCGTTATGTTTGTATGGCGCCAATTTTACGCCATTGGTTCATTCCTTCAAAACGTAAAAGCCTAGTGAATTTTAGTAGATATAAGGAAATCAAACAAAGACATCTTCAGCTAAATATTTAACCCGATGCCTGCATAAATTAATAGGTTTGACTGAGGCACGTCTTACGGATGGGAAGTTTAATCCTAATGTGGTTTACATTTCTCAAATTTTTGCTGTGTTCTTACGCAATTAAAGTACCATTTTTGATCTAAAGAATTTACCCTGAACTTGAAGCTCGGCAGATCGCTTTTCTTTGGTTCCACGAAACGTGCACAGATCATACAGTAACCACTTACAACAGACTCAGTAAGTGGGATCGTAAGTGGGCGTGTGGCATGTTCAATATGAATACTGAGGTTTGGCTGGTCAACAGGGGGACCTCGACAACTAGTATCGACGGAACATGCATTGACACTAGTGAGGACGTGCTAAAGCTCAGCACCGTCGTAGCATCGGCTGTACTAGACTCTCGCAGCAAACTTGGGTCTCACAACACAGGATCTCCGGATGCGACGGTGGTCCTCAAGAACACTGAAAGCTATTGAACCCATGTCAAAAAAGTTAAAAAGGACCGGGCGTCACCATCTATGAAGCAAGACATTCTACTTATTGGAGTGAAATCAACTGGTGATTTAGCCGTACAGTCTACCCCTAAGGCTGTCCAACAGGTCAGTGAAAAGCACATGAATCTTAAACGCGCCTCAACCATCAAACAACAAGGTCCTCAACCTGAACATACCCGAAAACCTGGGAAAGTAGTTATGGTTCACGATGATTCTTCCATAACCATGAACCTTAAAGACAGCTATGACCTTCTCCTCGGTCTGCAGGATAAAAATGACAGGATGCTCTGCGAAGAGTCAAACAGGAAGCCCGAACATCCCAAAATAGAGCCTTTGATGGCCACATGGCTCACTCATTGAAAGGACTTCAAGCATTTACATCACCCAAGACTACCTCGTGCAACGCCTACTAAGGCTGCCAACGTAGAAGATGTGTTGCTAGCTAGTCATTTACTGAAATCGAGTGGTATGTGAAAATACTGCCTGATATACTGTATTCTGAGCGCAATCTCATCAGGAATGTTCCTAATGAATCTCGCGAGTTTTTTCGCGGAAGAAATATCATTGTGCAAGGCGTACCAGAAAACACTGACCCTGACCACACAAACTCTGATGTTCGGGAATGAAAATTTATCAGACAGCCCTTGTAGCTCAAAAACATATTTGCTCAACAAGTGGTGAGATTAGCCAAGAAAGACGAGGATTGTAGACCCTGGCTGATGAAAATTACCTTCTCATCTTCCCATATGGCGGCTGCAATCCTCGAAGCATTTCACGTCGGTTGCAGACTGGAATCTATATGCATCCGGATAGGCCACACGATGCCAGGACCAAGTACAAAAGCGAATTGAAGCTGACCATTCTACTTGTGGACTGTCTAGATCATAAAAAACATGGAAAGGACAGAGACTACCAACTCGTAAAACCCTGTGTAGGTAAGTTACTTGTCCATTCACACAAGGCTCATACAGATAAACAGAGCGGGGAAGCTTACGCGTTTCAAATTGAAAGCACAAACTGCTTATATATGAACACCACGAGTCTACCGAATAAAATGGATGAGCTAAACGAACTCAGCAATACTAACAATGATCATCTGACAGGCACATCTAAAATTTGGATCTTTTCTCAGTTTACGGACCAGGAGTTAGCAATACTCGCGATGTCTTTGCTTCTCAATGGCGTAAAAAACGGAATGGGGGCGGAGTACCCTTATACACCCGGTTTTGTCTGGAGGTAAATCAAGTGTAAAACCAAATCTTTCAATTTCGATGGATCCGTATGATGCTCAATAAAATTGTCTAACACCTCGAGGTGTCTAGTTGGAGTCATCTACAGGAAACCCACTGCTAATATCGAGTATGTCATTCGTATGCTGGAAGGATTATCCCACTTTACTCGTCACGAATTCACTCACATCCTGATTCTAGGTGACTTCAATCTTCCTGGAGTCAACTTCACGGAACATACGTATATTGGAGGTAAAAACTTTGCTGAAGCTCGGTTCTCCAACCTAATTGAAGACCTGAGATTATTCGAAAATGTCAAGTCGGCAACTTGTTAGACAAACAGCCAGACGCCGTCGTGCATGGACTGTGTATTTGCAAACGAAGAATTCCTAATTGAAAACCTTTCAATCCTGGCTTTCCTGGGGAACAACGATCATGCCGTCATAGCCTTCAATCTTGTTAGTAAAACTGAGCTAAGACAGCTACCGACAACATGCACTGGAATTTCAAATGGTTGAATGCGTCAGCTTTACAGGACAATCTACAGCAAGTGGATTAGGAAGTCCACCCTCAACTTTATCTGGGTGCTTATTGGGATTTCTTACCGCACACGATCTCGTGTGCTACGAAACAGTCCACCCCACAAACGGTCGTCAAGAGCTACAAGAAACCTACAGTCATCAAGAACCACGCTGTTCGTTTGATAAACCGCAAAAGTCACTACTGGGTGGTATACAAACGAACTGGCAACAGCAGTGCATACAGGCATTTCAAACAAATAAGAAACATGAATTAAGGCAATAAAACTGGACAGGCTTCAGCACCAAACAAACTTATCTCCAAATTTGTCTTCAATCATGAAAGCTTATTCCGTTATTCATCCTCTCTTCAACAATCCAAAACTGCAGTTTCCCGGTTGCTAGCTCCTAATGACTCAACCAAAAACGATGGTGATGCCGTTAACCTTCTGGTTGAACAATAATCTCAGACATTTCAACTGACCCACACTAGCTTTATTAGTGAAAGCTTCATTTGCAACTCCACAGGACTTTCAGAAGTGAACCTGAGCGCTGACTTGGTGTACTGGAGACAGTGGCATCTAAAAACGACACATTTGGTCCAGATATGGTCTACTCTGCTATATTGAGAGAAGCAGTTTCAATCTTGGCAACACCGCTTTGCGTGGTGTTCTCACGTTCCTTGAGCCGGGGCTCATTACCCGAAATTTGTAAGCTGACTAACATTACACCATTTTTCAAAACTTATGGAGTCTTTGATGAGCGACCGTATACACGACTATTTATTAATCATAAACTTGTTTTCACCCCAACAACACAGGTTCAGAAAAGGTCACCTCTGCATAACCAACCTGGTGACAGATGGACAACCATCATTGATCACACGTAGGAAAGATTTTGATAAGGTCAACTATATATGTCTTGTCAATAAGCTCAAACGATTGGGTATCAAATCACCTTTGAATGATTGGCTCACTTCATATAAAAACCTACATTTTAAGATTGGGGTTAACTTCACTTTCTCGTAGGATATGGAATGTCCTAGTGTGGTACTCCGGGATTCAGTACGAGGACCCCTACTTTTCTTGATTTATGTAAATGATCATCCACAGCAGGTACCGTCAAATTTATTAATCTTCGTTGATGATGTGAGACTTTAAAAGAAATGAGTAACCGAGAGAATAAATTGGTACTTCAGGAGGATCTAACTCGGCTTAAAATTTGGGCAGATGACAATAGACATAACTTCAACACTTCAAAGTGTAAGGTAGCCTATCAGAATCATGTTGCAGATTACAGCTACAACTTAGGCAACTCCCCTCTATAGGTTTCTCAAGTTGAAAAAGATCGTAAAGTGTGGTATATAATGATTTGAAGTCTTACGTTAACTCTGTCAAAATGCCTTGTAACATGGAAGTGCATTTTTGGCCAGTGTGACGGAAGCAATTTTCACATAATCAACAATTTCATTTGTCCCCATTTAGAATACAGAAACATAGTACTTCCTTTCTCACTCCAAAAGGATAAGGGCACTCTGGAACGCATCCAACGGCGAGTTACGAAATCTATTTGGGGACGCATATTCAAGTCTTATGAAGAGCGCTTCCATTCACTAACATTTACCCGTTAGTGTACAGGTGTTTTAGAGGTACCTAATGGCTTACAGAATCCTAAACACTTCTAGACACCCCTTAACCACATACTTAAGCTTAGTCTCGACACAAACCTTAGGGATAGCGCCCAGAAACTGAAGAGATAAGACAGAAGAAGAGGTTGTACATACGTCTTCTACTTAAAAGTAGTCATATGCCGTAATTTTTTGCAGGATGAGCTAGTCTAAGCGACTTCCCAGGAGTCCTCCAAGAGAAAACGTGGCATGTTCTTAAGGACCAAGGATAGTATCTTACTATGACTCACCAACTTTTATTTCCTTTCCTCTTTTATCGATAATATACCTAGATTCCTGCCTGGAGGCATCAGTGATCCGCTCCTACTAAATACGGAAGCCCGTTAGGCGAAAGCTTGTTCCATTCTGTCCCAAACCGTTTGAACCATTCAATATTTGTTTACTGTCTGGTTTAGTTACTTGTTCGCATATTTTATCGAACTTAGATACTGGTTAATTCAAAGCTTCTAAAGTGCCAACTTAACACTATACTGGCTTGCCATATTGTCACCGATCAAGTCTTTTCCATAATCACCTTACCAGGTTGGTAATCAGAACAAACGTCATTAACTGTTTTGGTGGATGTGTCGCATAAGTTAGTTGACTGTAGTGAAGGAGTTGATTTGAAGCCTTTACGACCGTAATAATTTCAACCTTAACTTTGATGACGTAATATCACGGTTCTAATTCTGTACTGACAACCAGAGCAACCATTTATTTAGGTACATGGAATTCTGGTATAATGTGGAAACTGGGAGAGTTTTTCAAATTGCTGCAGAGATGAGGAGATACAACATAGAGGTGCTTGGGATCAGTGAAACACATTGGACGCAAGCTGGACGACAACGACTAGCTTCAGGGGAGCTGCTGTTATACTCCGGAAATGAAGAAGAAAATACCCCACATACACAAGGAGTTGCATTGATGCTGTTCAAACGAGCACAAAATGCACTTGTAGGATGGAAATCTCAGGGACCAAGGATCATCAAAGCCTCCTTCAAAACAGAGAAAA